CCCCACCAATTGGAGACGTTCAAGCTGCCATATACTAGCCGCTTAGAAATACTTGGGAATACAAGGAGGTTGGAACATCAATAATTTAACATCTCAGAGATCGCGGAATGGGATCTGGCTATGCAAAGGTTGACAAACACTGATTCATGCCCCTCATCTCCACCGGGATTCGAACTTTGAAGCTTACAGTTTCGGGTCCTATTTCCTTGCCACTAAAATAAAGGCACGACGAACTTGTTATACATAGAAGAAAGACAGAGGGTCAGGTTCAGTGAGTAGTGTCAATTACCAGCCCTTTGTGTCCTCGTTCCCACCGGGATTTGAACCTTCAACAATATCGTGTCGAGTCGTGCGTCCTTACCACTAACATAAAGACGCCGCAAGGGGAAACTTGTTTTACATAGAACAAAGGACAGAGTATCGGGGTTCAGTGAGTAGCGTCTGGGATCAGCCCCTTGTGCCCTCTTCTATATCGGGATTCGAACCTTTGAACTTTCTGTTTCGAGTCCTGCATCCCTACCACTAAAATGAAGACATCACAAGGGGACATTTGTTTTACATAAAATAGACAAACGGTCGGGGTTCAGGGCGCAGAGCCATTCATCAGTCCCTTACATTTCGAGTCGCACAGCCTAGACAAAAACCTGCTGCCAATGGGAACTTATTCTTCATAGACGAAGAAAGATAGAGAGTCGGGTTCAGTGAGTAGTGTTAGTAATCAGCCCCTTGTGCCCTCCTCCCAATCGGGATTTGAACCTTCAACAATACTGTTTCGAGTCCTGCATCCTTACCACTAGAATAAAGTCACCACCAAGGGAAACTTGTTTTATATAGGAAAAAGACAGATGGTCGTGTTCAGTGAGTAGCGTCAGTGATGAGCGCTTTGGGCCCTCCTCTCTATTGGGATTCGAACCTTTAACCTGCATCTTTACCACAAAGATAAAGACACCACCAATGGAACCCTGTTTTACATAGAAGAAAGACAGAGGGTCGGGTTCAGTGGGTAGCGTCGGTGATCAGCTTCATGTGCCCTCGTCCCCACACAGGTGATCGATCTCCAGCCCTTCAAGACCAAAGTCCAGCTGAAAGGCCTGCTCCAGCAGGCGGCACAGATCAACCAGGGTAAGAGAGACAGCCGGACATCGGCTCTCGCCAAAGCTCAAGGGGATCTACAGAAATCCGAAATTAGTAAAAGTCGTTCCGCCATTTGCATCCCCTAATGGCAGGTCTGGAGAGCTGTACTCACATTAACTCCTACAGCTTGTTCGCTTTCGTCTGTGAAAATAATATTATTAAAAATTGAAATTCGTTTTTGTAGTATTTTTAGGCACTTGAAATATAGTTAGGTCATATGCGTACCATAGATTTCTGGTGTGTCAAGAGAGTTAAAAACACAAAAACGAAGAAGGAGCGATAACGACGATAGATTTTTGAGGATAGGAAAGAGTGAGCAAACCACGCTAGAGTACCCACTAACCACCCAATTTTCTCACTTGCAGACGAGCTATTTTGGTCTGTTTTAAAAAGAAAAGAAGTGTAACTTTTTCATTGATATAGATTTTCTCATTCTGTTTTCTTTATCTGAAACTTTAAAAGACAGGCAGCAACATGAATACTATTAATAAATATTCAAATTCGTGTTTCTAATTGGTGTATTTTGATTCGAAATGTGTAATAACATTTCCTTTGGTCTCTGACGATCAGACATTATGTGTCCACCAGGTCCTTAAAGAGTTGATACAGGATTTTTTTAAATGGCTCTTTTAAATCTACCCAGGTTATACATGCAGGTATAAAAGTTGGATGACCAACAGAGTTTAAAAAACCGACTGATGAAAGTCACAGCCAAATGAGGTTTCGACACTTTTTCTTTTTGATGCCACCCTAAAGTTGGTAAAGAATGATATATATGGTTCACGGTATACACCTTAAGTTGACCTATTTTGATCAACACCATACTGTGACACATGTATATGAAACATGGTTTAACAAATGGATAATTACATGTCGTGACTGACATAGAGACGTCTAGAAGTCGTAAGGAGATTGCACTGAAATGTGATGTGGGGGCAGGGGGGGGGGGGATTGTCGCCGTCCTAAAATTAGCCATTTATAGGTAAAGTTACTGTAAATAATTTATTGTAGTGATCCAATGTATTTAATTACTGGATAATGATTTTAAACAAAAAATATGTTCTTGTTCGTTTGCTGGCCGCCTGGAGTGCGATGCAAAGTTGCGTTCGCATTGACAAAATTAAGGAATGAGCTAGACTTGTTTTAAAGGGGACAGACGAAAGTGAGCAAGCTTTAACTCGGATGATTTCACAGTTTAGTTAGTCAGTATATTATTTATTACTTTAACGTATTTGTATTTTACAGAACACTTTATTACTGACCAACGTTTAAAAAGATCGTATACAATAGATTGGATGTATTTTAAAACCACCTGAAGTAACATTATTTCTTTTCGTTACTACCTTTTCTAGCATACAATTCTTCCCTTTTTTCTAAACTTGTACTAACATACTCGAGTTAAATGTATTATATAATGAAGGATATTGATAGATGTCAAAGGATTATTAGAAACAGAAATAGGAGATAGTCTGCCAAACCATACCCATGAGAGACGATGAAATGGTACGGCTATTGATTAAAATATTTTTAACACTAACGTCAGTGCACAATAAAAAACAGTACTAAAGTGATTTTTTAACTTTGACGATTTGGGGGAACCCAGGTATGTTTTATTTTGTTACGAGCGACCCTTCTTAGAACTTTTAATTTTTGTCCAGATTGGCACCCAATCGCTCACATCCACGTCACTTGGTAAGGAATTTGATCTGGCCTTTCATAACAAGGCAGACAACAGTAATTCCTGATCACGTGTTTCCCCCCAAAATACTCACCAACTCCGCGTATTACGTAACGTTGGACACCAAAAGGCTGTGCCCTACGCTTCAAATATTTTTTAAGTGCTCTCCTTTCGTATCATTAATTTAAAAGCTAACTTGCTATAATACTGGAGGCAATTTACTTAAAGAAGTATTACTGACCCACAATGAAGCTTTTCTTAACTTTTAACAAATTAATACTGTGTTTCACCTTCCTTTTGTTTCTCCTTTTTCACCACAAACTTCTGAGTGACCATTTACTAATATTTCCAAAACTGACATAATTTACTACAGATATTAATTAGTTTGGATATACTGCTCTTGATGATATTGAGAAAAAACTCACTGTATTCTGACTAATGAGTTTAACAAATCTGAAACAGAGAGCATGGAGGAGAAATTTCTATAAAACCATATCTCTGAATTATCAATCGAGTAAGATTGATCTTTTAACAGGTTCAAGAAACAACCACTTCTCTACTAATTACCTTACAAAGCATTGTATGGCTACATTTGGCTTATAGAATGATTACACAATTTTCAAAACACAACACTGTTACACAGAATTAGTTTACAAAAATAAAACTATAAAAAAACGAACAAAAAACCCATAGTTAGGCAGAACTAATTTACGACAAAAACAACATAGTTGCATAGAATAACTCAATCACATAGAACTAGTTTACAAAACATAACATGGTTATATAGAACACGTTTGCAAAAACACAACATGGTTTTATAGAACAAGTTTACAAAACATAACATAAATACATGGAAGAAGTTTACGAAACGCGACATGATTACATAGAACTAGTTTACAAAATACAACATAATAACATGGCACCACTAAATGACGGAACAAAAATATACCAACCAAACACTTAGCTCACCAATAATATGATAAGACAATTGGCCCAACAATTAAAGCAGAACTGCTTCAGACGCCGATTGCCCAGGACAGTTTCTCGCTTTGATTATTTGTCAAATTCGCAGACAGAAAACAAAGAAACTTTTAACAATAGCGTAAATCTTTCCCTTACAAGATCTCCAGTCGAAAAAAAGGAAATACAAAAAAGGTACCCAGTCTCAAAGAGCTAGATCTAGTTATTTCATGCATAATTTGTAAAGGATACTGTAACATGGTTGCATCATCTTTCTCAAACATAATGTTGTTAAGAAAAGTA